TTTATATATTGTATATTGTATATAAAATTATTTGTTTTGTTTTAATGAAATGAATAAACTGAAACTGAACTGAACTACTACTACTACTACTACTACTACTACTACTACTACTACTACTACTACAGTGTTTCATTAAGAATAAAATATTGGATCTAGTTACTTTTTCCATTTTGCACAACTTTTCCAGAATTGGGCATGCAAATATACTAAAACAACACAATATAATATAAAGAAAGATAACTGTAACAGAAGTACTAAAGTTTAAAACACTTTTTTAAGGTAATAAATTACATACCATCAGTTTAAACAATTAGCAATCATCATTTTTGATGAAATTATCGTCACAGTTTCAACATGTTCAGCATCAATCTTAGTTGATTTAGATGTGGAGAGTTTATGACATCATTTTATTTTATTTTTTTCCCAAACCAGTTAAATTCAGAATGGTTAAATGTTGAATAGTTAAATTAAATGAATGTAAAAAAAAAAATGTCTAAGTAAACAGACTTCAGATGTCATAAACATTTCTGAAGATGGGTGAAGTTTTCATAGACATACAGAAGAGCATTTTATATGAAACACTTAAATAACTTTATAAATACTATTTTAATCAATAAAACAGAGCAGTTTACCTCTCTCTGTCTTTGTGACACAATCCAGACCGAAGAACGACATCTTCTTTTTCTCCTCCTGTTATCTGCCCATCGCAACAATCTGAGAATTAAACAGAATCAAACCTGACTTATTATCTTCACCAACAGGAAGTCAGACCCCCTCTATGTGTTGTCAGATAAACACAGGAAAAGACACAAAAGTTCATATTTGAGGCATTGGGGAATGACGTAATCATTCCCCAAAATATAACTTTTAATTTTCCAAACTGTGGCCTTTCTTCTAACGGAGTTTTTAGTGAAGGTTTAGACATCTAAATGCCAGTTTTTTTATTTTTAAATGGAATAAATGTGTAAAAGAGTCTGAGTTGCTTCCAGGAGTCTTTCCTCCAGGTTTGCATCAGGCTCTTAATGATTTCCTCGTGTCAGGCTGGTGACTCAGAGGGAGGCTCCTCTGTAAGGGACCCAGGAAACCCTGACAGGAAGGAGGCACAGCTGAGAGCCATGGGAGACCCTGCAGTCTGTCTTGGTCAAACAATAATGAAACCAAAAACACGGGTCTGCCGGTCCAACGGGTCACCCAAAACGAGAAGTTGATGCTGAACAGGGAGGTTAGATTTCAGAAGAGAAACAAGGAACCAGTTTAATAAAAACAAACTCTGAAAAAAAGCTTCTAGCTACTCTTTTTTTTTTTTTACTTTTAGCTACCATTTGGCTCATTTAGCATGATGAAAAACCTTATTACTCAGCTACTTCCATTCATTTTCTGACAGAAACAAGAGACCAGTGAAAAAAGAAGAGCAGTGTTGGAAAAAAAAAAGCCTGCAGAAAACATTGAGCAACAAAATGAAACGTACGAGTCTGAGTTTGTGGGTTTTGACATCCTTCCTGTCACTTCTCTTGCCAAGATGACGTCATCGGCGAAGCTATAAATACCAGTGAATTTGTTGGAGAATGAGTGAGTGTGTTTTACCAAAATCTCTGCGAAAACACACACACGTTTGTATTTCTATCCTTATTAGGACCGCTCATTGATTTCCTATCATCAGTTCTATAGCCTTACCCTGACCCCTCCAATACATTAACCCTAAGCCACCTAACTGAACAGAGGCGTTATTTTCTATGTGAAGTTGATGTAAATTGGGACAATTATCCCTAAACCAGGGCTATTCAACTGGCGGCCCGCGGGCCACATCCAGCTCGCGAGTGACCAAAGTTCGGCCCGCCAATTGTTTCATTCATCTCTTTATCCCAAACCCCCACATTTCTACTTTAATTACTATAAGTTATTTTAGTTGAACATTAGCGCTGCAACGATATAGAAAATTCACGATTCGGTTCAGTTTAATATTTTAGTCTCACGGTTCGATATTTTTTCGATACAAAACAGAGAAATTTCCATGCCCCCCTTTTTCTTGTAATTTATTACAAATAATTCTGAACATTTGTTTAACCTCAAAAGTACAGTTTTTAAATTAAACGAAACAGCAAGTTTCTTAGTAGATCTGCGCTCAGAAATGCAGCCTAGGTGGAGTAATCAAACACAGATCCACTGATCCTTCAAAACAGACCATCTTCAGAAGACAAGTTGATAAAATAATAAAAAAAAATCTGTATTGTTCGATACAAGTGTGTATTGAACCTAAAGCTCTGTATTGAATGGTTCGATACGGGTACATGTATTGTTGCACACCTATTAAACATAGACATGTTTGGTATCTACTGAATAAGTCACAATCTTGGCTTGAAGCTGGTAAAAAAAACATTTCTATGAACATTCAAGACAGTTAAAATTACAAGCAGTTGAAGATAAAACTATAAATGTGAAAATAATATTGGTTTAAACATTTGGCAAGTCAGAGATGTCAAAATATTATTTGTAGTAAAAAAGAGGCATACTGTGTTGTTGTTTTTGCTGTTTTATTATCACTAATTTTTTTACATAGGGTTCTGTATGTTGTATTCATGATTACATACAGCAAAATAAACTATTTCAATGGTAACAAATCTTTGTAATACTTGGTTTATTTCGGCCCCTCAGCTGTTGGCCTGCAGTAACTGTGGCCCCCGTTGAGCAGCCCTGCCCTAAACTAAATTCAATTAGTCCTAAACCTGAACACCTCCTCAAAAATGGAGTCCCACAATATTAGGACCACCCTTTGGTTCCCATAAGGACTACTGGTCCTGACAAGATAGGTGTACACACCACTAACACTGAACCAGGACCAGAATGAGAGGTTTAATGCAATCATTGAGAAATTTCACTAACTTTAGTGAAAATGCAGGGTGGGGGGGTGTTATAGTTCAAACCTATACCACAGTCAACTAACTTCATTTGTTCTAAAATAATCTTTTTTATATCAAAAATAAAATTAACTTTTCATCATAGTCTATCTAAATGCCTTAAATTTGGCCTCTGTCCCTTTAAGAACCTCCTACCATTGCTGACACTTCAGCACATCTTCATAACAATGCTTTGGGGGAGGGGCGCTCTGTGGGGCAGGACTCAGCTCCAGGGCTGAGCTTTTATCAAGGCTTTAAGCAGCTCCACAGGAGATTCAAGGATTTCTCAAACATGAATGAGTCACAGCAACACTCTGGGTGTGTTGTTACGACATTATAACAATATATAAAACTCAAAAAGCTCCATTTTTGTGCAGTAAAACTCCCCTTTCATTTGCCTGTCAGAAAATTGTCAACTTATCCTGAATCATGAATATATACTTAGCACAAAAACTAAAGAAATGTGTGTTTGGTGGATTATTTCTTGGTTGTCGTATCATACGGGGCACCTGACTGACAGCACCTGGAGGTGCCAGAAGCTCAAAACAAGAGGCAATCGCAACAACAAAATCAGCTGTTTGACAGAGAAGCTTTGGCACCGTTTTCATGTGCGCAACCCTCAAATTAAAATTTTTTTGTGGTGTAAATCCACAACAAGTTCAGACAAGAAGACTTGGTGAGGTAACCTTTAATTTTCTCTGAGCAGCTGTTTGTGATTAAAGCTTGTTTTTAACTTTGTCTTTTCTTTCCTGAGGGCATCAGATGGTCTGTCCTGTCAGTGCCCAACATCTATCCTTTGTTTTGTTGCTGCTGAAGCGTTCCTCCCTGAGTCTGGTTCTGCTCAACGTTTCTTCCCGTTAAAGTGGTTTTGTTCATCAGAGGAAACAGTTTGGTTCCTCTTAACGTAAAATAAAATGCCATGAAAAGACAATGGGCCTCATGCAAGAACCGTTCGTACGCACAGATTTGTTCTTAAGTTGTGCGTACGAGTGATTTAGGAGAATTTGTGGCATTCACCAATGTGTAGGGGTCACCTCGAGTGAAGAAACAAGATTTACTGCCTCGAAGCAGGCCTCGGACAGGCCTGACG